ATTGGGCAATGACCTTTCCGAATGCACTGGAGGGTTGCCCATTATTGGACATTCTTTATGAGATGAGATGAGATAGCCTTTATTTGTCAGTTGCAGTTACCCACAACCGAGATTCAGATTCAGAAGACTTTATTTATCCCCAAGGGGAGATTAAGAGACTGACTTTGCCGACCATACATACAATAGACAAACATCACATTGGGGAGACAGGTCAGGCTAGGTAGCTGGCCGGTCAGCTACACGAGCAGCGACCCGGGACCGAACAATGGAAAAATGCACAACATCAGGAAAGACAAGGAGAAAAAAGAACTCCCCCCAGACTGAGCTCCAACAGGGAGATCAGTTTGAGAACAGAAAAAAACACCTCAGTGCATAGCACATGAAAAACTCTTAATACACCATAGAAACACATGACAAGCAACAGGGATAGATAAAAGGTGAGAGACAGCCACTGTAGACAGTGCATCCAGGCCTGCAGCATAAGCACTGGTCCCCTGTGATCCACCGTCTGCATTGGGAGGGGATAAGCATTGATGAATGTATATCTGTGTGTGTCCAGAGTTCAGCTGAGAGAGTATCCTTTGCCCTGCCAGGCTAAGTAAACAGTCTTCCAGCCAACCCAGGTGGCCTTGCGTAGGATAGGGGAGGAGCAGTCTAAACACAGTCCGTTATCTGGGAGAATTTGTTTTGTTCAGCTCCAGCCTTGAGACCACAGCTGTTGCCGAAATGGTAGCTACATGAAATGATGGTGTTTTTTCCTTTAGTGCGAACAACTCACGTGAATTTCAAAACCGTTCTAGCAGTCCGACACTGGTCTCTCAATCTCCCGTTGGAGAGCCGAGAGCTCAAAGAGCAAATTCTGAGAACTCAAGACCGCCGTGAGCTGTTATCCAATTTTCGCTCTATATATCTACCTACCTACCTACCTACCTACCCACCCACATACATATACATATATATATATACATATGGCTGTGGTCTTCAGCCAGAAAAGGACGGAGTGCCTACTTTGAGTCAGGG